CTGAATGGGCTGGGGTGGAGGGAGGGTTGGCTGATTCTGTTCAGGTTGTGTTAGAGGTAGAGGGGGCTTGCAGGCCATAGGTAGCTCTGCATAGACTGAATGCACATGCAGCTCCACTGGAGAGTGGACCAGGAATGCTAGACAAGCAGCTGTGCCCCAGAGCTAGTGCTGCAGCCAAGGGCTGTCGGAGTGAGCTGCCCGCTGGAGCGGGGCTGGGATTCCTCTGGGATGTTGTGAACGGTTGGTTATGGAGCCATGTGAGTGTCCTGGAGCAGCCCAGGAGAGTCACAGGCTGCAGCACATGCCTCCACTGTCCCTGTCTTGCATGAGGAAAGCTCTCGTCCACCCAACCCTCCTTCCAGCAGTGCTTCCTCTTGTATGCAGTTCATGTTCCCCCTGGGCTGGGGCAGGAAGGGATGTGTTGTCCCTCCTGGCTGTCACCTTTACTGGGTGAAACCTGCACCCCCTGCTCCTGCTCAGTGTGGGAGCCTGAGGTCTCTGACTCCATTCTGGCTCGTCTGCTCCCTCCTTGAGGGTGACTGTAGGCAGGTCACAGCTGCCAGGGTTGTTTATGCCAGTAACAACCCTCCTGAGCTGCCTCGCAGCACAGGATCACTTGGCAGACTTCAGGTCTGCCATTGTATACCACAAGCCCATCAGATCACCGCCGGGTGGTACGTTGCCCTCCGCTACTGCATGTAGTTGTTGTGCTGCTGGAGCCTCTGGAGAGATGCAAAGCCAAGGGCATGACCGCTGGCAGACTTGGAAGTCCCCTGGTTCCCTGCATAAGAGGAGAATCTCAGGCTTAGCATCGTGGCTGCTTTGCCCGAGGTTAATGGCTTTCAGCCTCCCAGGAGCCCTACTGCTGGGCTCCAGTGCTCAGTTTGGTTGGACTGGGAAAGTGCTTGCCCATTGTGTTGGACTGGAAAGTGATACCCTTGGGGAGAGATAATGATCAAGGTCTGTGGAGCTGCCTTGGCTCACTGGGAGCTGCTGTGTTGTTTGCACCAGGTATTCCAGTCTTTCTCCAGCCTGCAGCAATGCAAACAGATACTCGGGAAACACCGATTGGTATCAGGCAGTGTGCGTTGAACACGGGCGTTGCTATCGCTCCCCTTGAAGCAGCTGTCCAATTTGGTCGCCCTTTCTAGACGGAGAGGGGATGGACTATGGGTTTTACTATGCTGTCTCTGTCTGAACTGTGTTCACGTTACAGTTGTATCGCCTGCCTCAGTTTCCCTAGCTAACTTGTACAGGGGGAAAGAAGGGGTTAAGGGATACTGAAGCCAGCGCTGTGACTTGAAGGCCTCTCTTAGAGCAAAGATTCTGCTTCAAACTTTTTTTCTTATTGCATACCCTCTTCCGGATTTATCAGCTGCCTGTGTACCCCTACCAGCACGTTTTATATTTTAACCCCTTAAATGCCAATTATTATAATGAAAATGAAGTCCACCTTTAAACAATTTCTCTTGCGTACCCCCCAGAGATGTCTTGCATACCCCCAGAGGTATGCGTACCATAGTTTAGACACCCTGGTACTAGAGCATTTGAATAGCCATGTACTGGGGAGGTGCCACCCAGGGGGTTTCCAGGGGAGATAAGCAGCAGGGAGAAGAAGGGTCAGTGAGGAGGGGGGGCTTGGAAACAAAACTGGAAGCCAGTTATTCTGAAGGGCTCTAGGGGCTGCTCTGCAGTAGGGGGAAGGGATCAGGAGCTCAGTTGAGGCCTTTAGGAGGTGCTTAGCTTTCCCTTGGCCCTTTCCCCAGCCAGCCTGGCCACAACATGGGGCAGGATTGTATTTGTAGGGGTCTAGGACATGTATAACATCTCCAGGCTAGAGATGATCTGCAGCACCAGACGCCCCCGGTGCTGCGGGCTGAGACGTGGAGCCACCCAAGATATCCAAACCCCATGTGCCTGTTCGATTGCTGCTCACGCAGCTGGCAGTGTTGCAGTACTTGGGGAGGAAAAAGGCTCTTCCCCCAGTAGCAGCGCCTGGGCATACTGCTCCCAGAGACAAGCCTGTGTTTGCAACACGTGCGTGCCGCGTGCAGCCGCTGCTGGTCTGAATCCCTCGGAGGGCCCTTATCCGGTACTAGCAAAACATGAGCACAGCAGATGTCAGTGACTTCTTCGGGGAAAAATGTGGCGTTTGCTGCCCAAGATGCACCAAAGCCATCTGATTCCTTTGAGTTCCTCAGAGCTGGATGGGTGCAGGGGGCTGGAAGGGAAAGAAAACCCCTGTGGTGTGCAGCTGCAGGGCGTGGGCTGTCAGCGGCATGTGACGGGCAATGCTGCATGGGTTCAGCTCTGTCCTTGCCTTGGGTTTCTTGGGCACAGAGAAAAAATCCAGAAACAAAAAAACCCAACAAAACAACAAACCAGTCCAGCTTGGATCCAGCCCTGTGCTAGCAGTGGGGGCTGGAGATGGCTGTACTGCCTGAGCACGGTGGACATGGGGCCTCTACACTGTGAGAGGTAGTGGGGGAAGGGAGCCGTCTCCTGCATCTGATGCATAATCTTTCTCTTGGCGTGGGCACAAACTGTGGTAGTGTGAACTCTCAGCGTGGAGAGCACACCATCTGCACCCCATCCTGCATCTGGGAGTTTAAAAGCTTGGAGACCACTGTGTCCGTCGCAAGGGAACCGAAGCCATCCCTATGCAGAGCGTATATGTCGAAGTCTCCTAGACTTCAGAACCAAGATGAGGGTTTGAGACCCCTTGCATTTACCTCCCAGACTCCACTGGGCTATTGGCAGAATATTATCTTCTATATCACTGTGCAGCACCCCCTGCCCCCAGAACTAGCCCTGTTGCAGTTCACGAGGGGAAGGTTGTTGCCAGAAGGAAATCCCCAGCCCCTGTGAAGCATTTCTGCTCACATCGAGATCCTAGCTGCTGGGTGTTTTTGGAGGGTGGGTGGGAGGTTGGCCCTGTGTAGGACTCTGGGATAATAAAAAACAAGCATGGCTTTTTGGCAGTCTGGTGGAGGCGCGTGCATGCACACACACCCCTCTCTGCCTTCTTGGAGATTGGATGGGCTTTGTCTCGTGGGCCTTAACCTTTGGGAACTGTTTGTCCTCCACCCCCCTCAGGAATTCCTGTGCGACCCAAAGTTCAGTGATGAAGAGGATCTGGAGGAGAAGCTTGCCGTGTTTAAAGGTGAGACTTTCCCCCCCTTGCAGCTGTATTCCCTGTGCCAAGTACAGCTTCTCTCCCAGCAGCTGGATCCAGCCAGACTGTGCAACTTGCTACCAGAAGAGATAAGTGACTGAGCCGAGATTAAAAGCAACCTCCTCTCATTCAGCGCTAAACAAAACTCCTCTGTGGCGCTTAGTTTTCCCACAATGAGACTTCAGACGCCCCCTCAAGCGTTCCCTCCCTCCCACACGACTAGGGAACAATAGCGCTTCTCTGAAGGTATGTCGGCATGCAGCCACAGCCCCGTCTTCTGTCCCCGAGGCAGCTTCAGTGCTAGCGATGGCTGTATCCTTTGTGGGAAGGGGTGCAAAACCCTCCCCAGGGCTTTGCGTGTTAGGTGCTTGGGAGAGGGTGTGCAGAGGCTTCCACTACAGCATCAGCAAGTTTCTCACTTTGGGATCAATGGGTCTGTGCCACACAGCTGGGATCCCAGCTCCCCTAAATTACCAGACCTTTGGGTCAGCCCCACTGTCCCGGTTTTTCCCTAGTGCACAAATCACACAGCTCCGTTGCTCCAGAGCCCACCTCTGCTTGGCCAGCCTGGGGCGGGTGCAGGAGATGTGCCTTGTTAATCCTCATCAGCACATTCCTGGCTTATCAGCAGCTCTGGGGGGTTGATTTGGGCCCGGCGAAGTGCTGGGGGGGAGGAAGAGAGAAGCAGGCACAAGGCTGGGACCTGGGGCGGGGGGGTGTCTGCCAGGCTTGGGCCTCCGGTTCCCATTATGCCTTTATCAGCCAACACCGCCTCTGCCCTTGGGAGCTCCGGGAAATCGTGCCCTCTGTGTCATGCTCCTCCTAGGCATCCAGCCCTCGCCAGCTTCTAACCAAATAAAGCCTGGCTGACTGCAGCCCCAGGGACAGCTGCCTGACCCTGCTTCCATTCCAGGCACCGGCTGCTCCTTCCACCTCTTCCTTCGGCTTTGAAACGGGCCCTGAGGATGCTGACTGGGACTTTTTTTCTGAGGGAACTGGATGCGGATGTCCTCAGGGGCTCCCTCTCCCTTCCCTGCAGGCTGCCTGTTTTCTCATGTCTTTGCTGAACCCCTGGATAACTTTGCCTTTGACCTGGGCACCCTTCAAACATTGCATTTTGGAGCCCCCTGTAACAAGAGCCTTCGGCATCTTCCCCGCCCCCCTCTCCTGCATCGGGCTGGCTGGCTCGCCCGCCTGCCTTGCTGGTGTCCCGCTTTGCACTGCCAGCACCTCCTCTGGCTCTGCCAACAATCAGCCCATTGTGCCTCTCGCCCCCACCCCGCTCCCACCAAACCAGAGCACGCAGAACCAGCATTTGTGTAAGTGCACCGGAGGCACAAGGGCAGGATTTCGCCTCATTGAATCTCCACAGCATGGGATGAAAGGGGAATGCGGTCGTGTGAGCTCCGACTCGGAGAGCGGTGGGATAAAGCCACCTCTGTTTTCTGCGCTCCTGTTCAACAGCATCCGAGGAGAAAGGAGAGTGTGTGCACACAGCATGTGACACGCATGCAGGGGCTGGGATGCGTGGCCCTGATGCTGCAGCTGGGACCAGTTGCTTTAGCCTTTACTGGCTCTCCCAGAAGCTGCTGCTGTGTTCCCTTCCCCCCCGGAGCCTGCATGCCAGTGGCCAGCTGTTGCCTTGGGGGTACAGCTGCTGCAGCCAGGGACTGACAAACAGCTTGTTGAATCAAAGCGTGAATCAAGGAGGAAACATGGCTCTAGCACTTTAACCTTGGTTACTTAGGTTTGGGCAGCAGGCTGCTATCTCTCTGTTGCTAGCGGCGCTAGGAGTTGTCCTGAAGAGCAATTATCCTGGAACAGTTCTGCAGAAGGAATTCCCGGAGGCCCGTTCCTGATGCTTTATAACACGGATGGAGGAAGAGAAGTGATCTCTTCACTATAGTGCCCCTCACCTTGGCTTCTGGGCATTTCACAGAGCTGAGGGGCAGAGGAATCGGGCTTTTTCCAGGTCATAATGTTCTGTTGAGTCCGTGTTGGTGAAGGACAACGATCCCCAGAAATGGCACTTGAGTTCAGAGCAAGTTGAAGCACAGCAGTGACCCAGATGTTCTGGGACTCATGCTTTGCTTTGCAATGGCAAGGTGTGATAACAGGTAGGCCAATGCCATCCTGCACGCCACAGCAGGTTGAAATATGCTGGCCGAGAGTCCAGATTCTTGTGTCCAGAACATTTTCTCTCCAAAATACTCTTAGCACTTGGCCGGACAGCGTCTTGGATACGTGTGGCTACAGTGCACATTCACAAAAGCCAGCTCACTGTAGAGTACTAAACAGTATCTGTGGGGTGTTTAATACCCAACTCCAGCTGCAGCCCAGGCCAGGACTGTCCTGATGCCTTAGAGATGTGAGAGGCTGCGGTTTCTTCCCTCTTCTTGGCTCCCCAGCCAGTCCTGGCACGCTGTCTTGCCTTGCTGTTGAAACAGTTCCTAGCTAGAAAGCATCACTGAAGTGACTGGTGACTAGTTAGCTGGCAGCTTTGTTTGAATCTCCAAGTTTGTGGGCCAGTAAAACTGCCCTGAATGATATAACCTCCTGCATTCCCTGTATTACCAAACCCAGCTTCCAAAGGCGATTGTGGAAACCAGAGCAGCCAAATAAAGCCCTAAGAGGGTCCTTGAACACCGTGGGGAAGGCAAGCCTTTAGTACACCCAGTTCATGCTTGCATTTGATTGCTAATGAGGGGGTTGGGTTCCCTGGGCTGTATGGCATGTATGTGGCTCCTACTAGCACTAATGAGCTTTCTGCCATCCCACCAAGTGACCCTCTCAGCTCTGAATGGGAGGCTAGGGCACTAATTGGCACCTCTGACCTGGCATTTGGCCTAATTGGTTTTTGGCCCATTGAAGGGGCTTTTTGTAGCTGCAGAGCCGCTTTGAGACCCCGGGTCCTGGTTTAATTGAGGAACCACTTGCCCAGTTCTCCATGGTGTCCTACGTGATTGTCGGGATAGTCTCTGGCCTGGCGAATGATGTGACTGCACTAGTAATATGGAGAAAGCTTTAGGAGGTCCATGCCAAAGCTCTACTTTCAAAATGATGTTAGTGTGGAACCATTTGAGGATCTAATAATGGAGCTGCGTATTGGCTGCTAACCCTCTGCGTCCGCTCTAAGCACTAGGGCGAATAGCCCTCCGAAGAGAGAGTGCTATCCCTTTAAGGACCACTAAGCCTCAAAGAGGTGATGAATTATTCATGGCATGCCCTCTTGCATATCCCTTTGAATTCCTGAAGGATGTACAATAGAGAAGTGCCCATTCTGGATTCTAGCTCCTCAGAAACTGGAACTAGCACACAGGGAAAACCCAGCCCTGTTACTTGTGTAATTGGCAGTCTACCTACGTCTGTTGGTCTCCTACCCATAACCTTTGCATGTCCTCATACATATCCCTAACTTGATCTGCTCCTCCCCTGTGCTGCGTCTGCCACACAGAGGGGCACCCCAGCAAGGGATTTCTCAAGTCAGCGAGAGCTCATGGATGCTGGGTTGTTTTAAAAGGCTGGACATTTCCAGGGCTTGAGAGCTCTGCCTGTGAATGCTACAGGTGGCGGTGGTGCTGGGCATGTCTCCTGTTTGGGCTCAGTGCCTCGACTGAGGTCATAGCCCCTGGTGCTGGGTGCTGGACATAGACTTGCTAAGGCAATCCTTCCCCAGGGAGCTTGCAGCTTCAATAGAGGGCATGGCCAGCAGCTTGAGAGAAGAGAGAGGTGGTCCTGACCCAAATGCAAAACCCAGGTCTGAGCCAGGAGGAGAACCAGCATCCCCCCTTCCAGCAGACCATACTACCTCTCGCTTTTTCCCTATGGGCAGAGTGCAGCAATTGGCCAGACACCCATGGCCAAGCGTTTTGTCTTCTGAGAAGACATCTGTGTTGTTCCCTTCAAAGGAGGTGTGTGGGATCGGACTAGATGGGCAAGTGCCTTGTTACAGCCCGACTTATATACACTCTTTGGCATATCCTCTTGGTGATCTGGTCCCTGTGCCCAGCCATGAAGCAGCATCCCCCATTGCAGCTCCATGGTAGCACTTTGTCCTGTCCAGCTGATCTCAGTATTGCCCTCTTTCCCCTTCCTGCTGTTCCCCCCAGGGCAGCGCCGTCCTACGAGGCTAAGCAAGCCAAGCTTTCTCCATCCCTGTGAGCATCCTAGTAGCTGTTCTCTTGAAGCTGCTGTGACCTGCTAACTTGCTTCTGTGTGTCTCTCTTCCAGAGAAGTACATGGAGTTTGACCTGAATAACCAAGGCGAGATTGGTGAGTGACTCCTGGAGGGACACTCTGTTGGTAGGCTAGAAGGGGGCAGCCATCTGGGGCTGACTAGGACTGAAAATCCCTTACCTGGGCTCTTCAGGTTCCCTTCTCAGTTGTGGCTCCCAGTCCTGGTCTCTGGCACAATGTTAGAGAGCCTTTCCTCTGCTTTTTGGCCCTAGAGCATGCTGTCCCTGCACATCCACTGTCTGTCTTTTGTGTCTTTGCTGCTTCAAACTCTAGACATCTCTTAAGATCTTGGTTTCAAGCTTCATTTCTCTTTCTCCTGGGTCTCTGCTTCACTCCTGCTCTTCCTCTCTGTTCTGGGATCTGCTCTTTCCCCCCTTGCCCCTCTTTCTCCCAAAGGCCCTCTCCTGCCCAGCAGTATTGAGAAGAGCCAGAAGCCAAGTTTGCTGCTCAGATTAACCTGCAGCCTCAGGGTACAAAGCTGTACAAAACACCAAGGCTTTCTGATGGTTATTGAAAATCCAAGCTGGTGCATTGGGTAGTAGGACAGGGCTCCCTTCTGAGGGGCAGAATGACCTGGAAGGAGAAGATCAGAGGATGAATTGGTCCCCAGTTCTGTTGGTAGTAGGTGGCTTCGGGCTTTGTGAGGAAGGATATGACCCAGTTCTGGTACAGGTGTCATGGCTTTTACTGAGTGGTAGCCTCACAACTAGTCTTCCCACAAAAAGAGAAGAGGCTGGCCCACAGGGTCGGGATCCAGGCTTCCCCACGCTCCAGTGTTGGTGTGCTGCGCTTTGCTTTGGGTAGCCAGCCCCGCCAAGGCAGAGGGGTGGTCGTCCTGTATCTCCTGCGAGCCAGAGCCTCCCGGCCCCTGTCGTCTGACCCAACACGTACTTGGGAGGCTGGAGAAGGGGACCTGGCTTTGAACCCTGCTGCTGTTTACGGGGAGGGAAGGAGGCTGCGGCTCATTGTTCTCACTTGAACAATCCTAAGGAAATGACCTCAGGCCCTGCCAATGCAGGAGGGGTTCAGGGCTGGCTCCAAGGGGCCTGTTTGCTTCTTGTTTGGCCTCTAAACCATTGGTGCTGCTTTTCCCCGTCCCCACCCCTTTCCTACACTGTGATGTTTGGCAGCACTGGACTAGCTAGACAGGGGGAAGCTTTTCTAAGAGGTCCTGTTGCCCTTTGCTCCAGGAACCAACATTGAGCATGTCTGTGACACTCTTCATCCCCGGATCTCAAACCCGATGCTTAAATTTGACCATACAGAACCAACTGCTCTGGGTTCCCATGTCCCTAGGCCCATGGCTCCCTTTGCCATCACATTCATGAGGCAGAGGCATATCCTGATATTAGATTTCACGGCTGGAGACAAGGAAGCACGGCCATCACGGTTTCTCTTCTGTGAGGCAGCAAGCCCCAACGGAGTTGGAAATAGGCTCTTGGGGGGCGGCTGGTCCCCTGCTGTGCATCCAGGATACAGCACAAGCTGCAGCCCAGGAAGAGGGGGCTGCAACAGTGCCTTCATCACCTGCACTGCCCAAGTGGGGTTTCTGCATGGGCCAGTCTCTCCCCCTGCCCCTTTCCCCCGCATAACTAATTGTCCTAATTCTCAGATGCCCAGCCTGAGCTGCCTGACGGACTCCGGCATGGCACAGTCTGTGTAATGGCATGTACAGTGTGCCTGCTTCCACTCTGCAGCGGCTTACATTGTATTTGCCAGGAGATCCTCTTCCTCCTCTACCTAGGCCAATTATACCACTCTTGTCTTTCAGAACAGTGCCTGAGGGCTAGGACAGGAGTGAGCATCCATGGCCTCTTTGTCTAGCTCCTAACGACCATGCTGTTGATTGCCAGGAGTAGCAGTTAGGGTTAATGGGCTCCCACTCCATGTGTGCTGCACCCCAGGAGGCTGTCAGGAGAGCCCTCAGTGTGGTGTTGGGGGTGCACCTCAGGTGCTCCATGTCTGGCAGGCTTATTGCTCATTAGCACAAGACCTCCTTTCTGGGGTGTAGCATGCTTAGCTCTCCCTAGTGTGGCCCTTGGATGGTGCCAGCTTGTCCAGAAAGGCCCTGTCTCCCAGGGGTTGACCCCCGTTGAGCACTGCTGCCCCTCTTCCCCACAGCACTGACCCTCTGGCTCTCCCTCTTTCAGACCTGATGTCGGTCAAAAGGATGATGGAGAAGCTGGGGGCGCCAAAGACGCACTTGGAGCTGAAGAAGATGATCTCAGAAGTGACGGGCGGGGTGAGCGAAACCATCTCCTACCAGGACTTCGTCAACGTGATGCTGGGCAAGCGGTCCGCCGTCCTCAAACTGTGAGTGTGCAGCGGGGTGAGGGAGGATGCATGGGTCGCTGGGAGCTGAGCTTCGGGCATCGAGCCTGGTGCAGACACCAGCTGCTCTGCCTGGGAGAGTGGGGAGGGAGAGGCAAAGTTGGAGCGAGAACCTGGCTGCCTTGGATGGGCTGGAACGGGGACAAGACCCTGGAGGGCACTTCACAAAGGGAGCTGGTACCCATTTGGGGCTAGGGCCCACTCCACGGGGTGCTTGGAGGATGGGGCACGAGGCTGAAGTATTCTGGCTTTGAGGTCCCTGCTCTGTTCAAGCCACCTTCCCAAGCTGACCGTGGCTGGCTCCAGGAGGAGGGCCATTCTTGGTCTGATGTTCCCTCGCGCTGCTGGACAGGCATGGCAGAGATGCTTGCTGTGTTGGGAGAGGTCTGCTCCCACGTGGTCATGGCAGGGTTAAAGCATGCAGCATACCTGCATGTGCGGGACTCTGAGCAGCCCATCCTTGCTATGGGCTGCCTTCCCAGAGCCCAAGCAGGCCGAGCATGAAGCGGGCTCCCTTGCCGTGGCTCCTGTATGTGCAAGATACGGACGGCGTTGCCAAGGAACTAGCCATTTCCTTGCCGGCTCCTGCCTCCAGCTGCTTTCAACCCAAACTGTTTTGGGGGCTAAAGGGTTAGTGCTGCATCTCCACCTCTCCCCCAGCTCCTCTGTGTGAATGGCTCTTGGCATCAGAGCTCCTTTCCATTTTCTCCCTCCTCCTGGGTATTTCTGGGGCTGGGGGAGAGCAGGGTTTCCCCTCCCTGAATAAGGCACTCCTCTTCTCACTCCTTGGGCTGTGTCCAGAATCCCACCTCGTTTCGTCCCTGCCTTGTGCTGCCGTTTCCTCTTCCCTTGGCATCCCAGGGGCTGGCAGGGGAATGTGAGAGTGGGTGAGGGGAAGGGGAGGCACTTCTACTGCGGTATGAGCCCTCAGTACCAGCCTCCCACGGCTCCTTGTGCCCTCCTGACAGGGCTATGAAAGCCCTGCTCTAACAAATGGCTGCTGGGCCCCAGCTTGGCTGCTGAGTGCAGTGGGATGGGTCTGCTGGCACCTTCCCAGCCCTGCTAATGTCTCTTTTCTTTTCCCGCATTTCATGGCCACCAACTAAGCTTAGTCCCGTTCTTGTCTTTCAGTGCAATGGGTATGCAGGTCCTTTCCTTCGCTCCCCTTGCCTGTTCCCTGGGGGCACAGCCCATGTAACTGGCCACCCCTGGGCCTGTAGAAACATTGTCCCTTAACCCGCTGGGTATTTCAAGGCAGCAAAAACCTTTCCAAGTCTCCTTCAATGCCTTTGTGTGAATGTGTCAGTGAACGGGGTTTCCAGGTGTCCTTGTCCCAGGGATGGATTTGTTCCTGATTTCCTGTGTACCTTCCCTAAACCCCAGCAGTGGGGCTTGTCCTTGGCCATCTACTTTCTCCACGGAAGCAAGCCGGTCTCAGGCCTGTTCATCACCTCCCATCTTCAGCCCCACTGCTGAATAGGCTGAGAGGATGGGTCCCTTTTCAGCACATGCACAAACAGGCATGCCATTGTCCTCCAGCTGGGTTTAAGTTTCAACCGAGCCCCAGCTGAAACAAAAGCTGCAGAGCCAAGGTGGCAGCTGGCTGTAGTGGTGCCGCTCCAGTTCTTGGGAAGAAAGTGGCAATGGTGGCAAAACATTCTGGAGTTGTTCAGTCACTGCCCCGTGCCACCGGCTGCTGTTCCTCCTCCTGGCCTGGCGCACAGCTACAGCTGCTGCTCATTCTTGCTTTCAAATCTAAGTGCACAATTTGCTGTAGTGGCTGTTTTGGTTCAACAAACCAGATGCCAATGGTTTGTCTCTGCCCACACAAAGCGCTCTAGATATGCAGTGTATTTGCACAGAATTTCAGAAGCAACCCCCTGAAATGAACCTGCAGGTCCCCGGCACTGGGGGCTGAGGAGCACGTGAGTAACTTTTGCAAACTTTGCATTGAAGTTGGGATTTTGGAGGCTCCTTAGAAACTGCAAAGCTGGATGCGGTGGCAATACTGCCCTCTGGCGCTGATTTGAGGAAGTAGCATATATAATAATTTTTTTTTTTCAAAATGCTAAATGCATCACTGGTGATGAGGCTATAACATACTGTTCTGCCCTCCTACAGAGCCTGGCATCTGAGGATCTCCGATACTTGGCTAAGTTTAATGCACAGTGGGCACATCTACACATGAATATTGATGTGAAATAAAATAACTCCGGAGCTTATTGCTCTAGGAGTGTTGTTTGCCCATGTGCTTGGGACCACAGCATGTTGAGCAGCCCTGGCTGGCAAGGGGCCCCAAGGGTCAGCCTGCCAACCCAGGGCAGCTTTCTCCAGCTCAGCGTGCTGTGGAGGAGACTGGCTGGGGCACAAAGGTGCTCCAGAGCGGGGCTAGTTGGCAGGCAGCCCCTGCACTGAAGCAACCTCATGCCTCAGCCAGCCCAGGTAGCATCTGCGCGTGTGCTGCTGCAGAGTCAAAAACTCTGCAGCAGGATAGATTCATAGATGCTAGGGTCGGAAGGGACCTCAATAGATCATCGAGTCCGACCCCCTGCATAGGCAGG